ATAATTTCGTCCCGGGGGGTCCTTCGGGAGGGTCTCCGCCCCCTTCGAACGAACCTGGGCCGAGTGGGCCATGTTGATCTGGTGGCGAGCATCGTCCGCATGAAGGGGTGCCTTGCCTTTGTCCCGAGGGGGACGCTCCTCGTCTGCCCTCGAGACAGACCCTCCGCTTTCTTGGGGCCCTCGGCGGTCTTGCCCCCCTCCGAGCCGGTTGAGGGCGGAAGTGCGGGGCCTTTCTCTGTTGTCATTGTGGCGGTCCCGGGACTGAACTTCCTGGGAGGCCTTGTCTTGGGCCACTACCCCTTCGTCATTCCTAACCCGAGGGATGGGGTTTCCGAAGGGGTGTGGCAGAGGGGGAAGTACGATGTTCTCCCCAACCTGGGGTTGAGCTGGAGCCAGGGTGCCGAAGGCACCCGGGTTCTGAGTTAGCGTCTGGAAGAAGGCGGAGAGTGCCGAATGAACGTCGATGGTGAGGACCGGAGGGCTGACTTGGTCATCGCTCCGGTTTTTCTTCTTGGCCTCGATGGCGAGGCGGGCATCGGGGGCATTCTGCTGGATCTGAAGGCGTAGGTCGACAGCCGCCTGTTCCAGCCCAGCGATGACACCGCCCTCGGGAGCCTTGTGAGAGGCTTCGGGGGCGTTGACGTCGCCGAGGGCCAGGTTCTTGTCTTCTACGTTTTTGGAGTTGGCACGTGTTGTTCTCACCATTTTGGTAGAGGGCTAGTGTTTGGCGAAGGGGGAGGGTTTCTTACTTGATCGTTCGACCTCTCAACGAGAGCACCAAATGATGGATAGTGTACCCGGGGGGTAGCTTATCCGAGGGGTTATTGCGGAGAATAACTAGAGAGAAGTCAGAGCAAATAAGTAAGAGAGAGAGTGTATATTCGATATGTATTAAGCGTGGTTTACAATGGGGGAAAGGGGTGTTATTTATAGTGGTAATAAATGCTAGATAAGGACACGTGTCAGTTTTCTGGTGGTCGAGGGGTCACCTCGACCGGGGTGGCACTGGCACTCGCATGTGGCCGCATTAAATGCGGTGGTTGGATGTGACGTTTGTACTTGGTACGGTGATCAAGGCGCGTGTGAAGAGGATATTCTGTCGAGGTGGATGCCTTCGGCTGAAGGGTGCTGGGCCGAAGGCTCTTCTAACCGAGGGCTCCTACCTGCCGAGGGCTGCAGGTGCCGAAGGCTTGGTTTTCAAGCCTTGTTCTCCTGTGATGCCTCTTCTAACCGAGGGCTCCTACCTGCCGAGGGCTACAGGTGCTGAAGGCTTGGTTTTCAAGCCTTGTTCTCCTGTGATGCCTCTTCTAACCGAGAGCTCCTACCTGCCGAGGGCTGCAGTTGTCGAAGGCTTGGTTTTCAAGCCTTGTTCTCCTGTGATGTTTCTGAGCTTGATTCCGTCACTGGTAGCCTTCGGCCATGGGGCCGAAGGCACCCCTTTGCGTATTGTGGGCTGCTTAGAGCTCCATTTTTCTGGGCTTGGCCCGTTTGGGCCTGTTGGGCCTGATTGTAGTAGAGGAAGTATGTGGGCCGGGGGTCCCTGGGCCATATACTCCATCAATTAGTGATGTAATATTACTTTAAGATTGTTCAATTTGTGTACTTTAAACGTTATAAAACTTATATAACATTGAACTATCTAGTGTTCTTGTATTTCATTGTTAAGTTGTTATTATTTATTGTTTTAGGGGGCCTTCATTTGTCATTTCGAACCGGGGCCTCCAAATTCATTGGACGGTCCTTAAACCTGATCATGGATGCGTGATTCATGTAGAACAATTGGAGAAATTTGAATCCACTATTGTCAACATATATTTTTTCAAGTAAATTTAATTTTCATGTTGTGTACGAGAGCTATACCCATGTAAATAGAAAAAGTTTAATGCCAACATAGCAATTAAAATTCCCGTTTTCAAGAAATAAATCTACATATCTGAAAAGCTCTCCCGATTTTATTGATTTTTTTTCACGATTTCATTGGTAACTACATATAATGATTAACGTGTATATGTGTTTTTATTGTGTCTTATATGTTTTTCACATTCCTTTGAATTTTATTGTGTTCTAGATTTCCATTTTAAAAGGTATTATAATATATATATATATATATATATATATATATATATATATATATAATACTCCGTATAAAATATATAAAACAAATGTCTTGTGCAATGCATGGGTATTATACTAGTAACTATTAATAATGTAAAACTTTTACTTAAAAATATATTTCCTCTTCCCCATAATCAAATTTACAGTTTACCTTTTATAGTTTTCTAGGTAAATGTTTGATCTTAAATGTCTAAAATATATAATTATAAAATCAAAATAAATTAACATTTGAATAATATATATCATAATGAAGTTAATGAAATAAATTTTGTTGTCATAGAATAGTGTGAGTTTTGAATGGTTAACGATCAAACTTTATAAAATTTGATTGAAAAAGTCAAAAACAAAATTTAATTGTGGGACGAAGTAGTAAATTTTATTAGAAACAAAATAAAATTGAATAACGGAAAGTAAAATTGATTTAATATTACATTAAATTAGAGTTTTAACAAAAAATTGACTAAACGATTTTGGATTCATTCAAGTTCAGCTCTTCGGTTATCAATAATGTACAGTCCTACATATGCAGCCGTTTTAGTGACCTGGTTTTTGAAGTTACTTTTTAAGCAAATTTTTGAAGTTACTTTTTTACCTGAATTGGTTGAAGTTACCGTAATTTTAAATTTTTTTCATATAATTTCTTCTTTGTTTTATTAATAAAATATATTTTAAATATAATATTTTCATAAATGAACAGAATCAATTAATCCAATCACTTCAATCAGAACTTTATAATCTTCAAGAAATTAAAATGAATCGATTTAACCTATTTCAGTGTTATAAGCTAACGGGCTCATGATAAAGTTTCAGCTTAAAAAGAGGTGAATATGGTATTGCTGATGAGTCCCGCTTCGTGTACACGCCGGGTTACACGTCGGTCAAATTGTCTGTTTACCTGAATTACACGCCGGGCTCATGAATTAGTTAACTCATTGTGCTAGACAGACAATTTGACCGGCGTTTTATGAAGAAAATCGATTTCCATATAGATAAAATATCGAGAGTTGTCTGTATTACAGACATTTTAAACCTGAATTTTTCATAAAGTGTCTGTGATACAGACATTTTTTTATTTTTGTCTGTGTGAAAATCGGTTTTCTTCGTAAATCGTCGCTCAATATGTCTGTGTAATCGATCAAATTGTCTGTGTAACCCGGCGTGTAACAATTGACGTGTACAAAAGGAATTTTCCATTGCTTATTTGCATTGTGTTTAGTTCTTTTGTCACAAACAATCGGTGAGAAATTAATGATGTGTACTCGGCTACTATTTAACCAAAGAAAGTCAGGGATTGCAAATCTAACGTGCATGTCTAGTAGGTATAATAATAAATTTTCAAATCTTTTGTACTATTTAAAAAAATCTAAAAGTTGTAGTTATGTGTTTGGAAGAATAATTTTTTTAAGAGCTTTTCTGAATATTTAAGATTTTTTAAGAAGTTATCGTGAGTAACTTTTGATAGAAAGTATATAGCTATTAGTATTAATTAGACACACCAAATTATTATATTAGTGAGAAAAATTTCCCACAATAAGAAAAAAATTTCCCACAATAATTACACACCAAATATAAAAATAGGAATTATATGTTTAAACTTTACTAAATAGGAGTTATAATTTGTGATTCGATAGAAACACCATTATATTGTAGCTAAGGTCTGAAGATATAACTCACTTCCACCAAACACTCGGTTGTAGTCGAACCTCCACCGCTGCTAGTCGGTGCAGATCATCGGGCCTCCGCTGCCAACAGCCGCTAACCTAAACTCTAATTGTAAATTCTAACCCTAAAGACTAATCATTAGGGTATTTTATCCACTCATATATTACTCATATTTGAAAATTAAATAGTAAATTGTTCTAAACAGAACTAAAACATAATCCTATTACATAAATATGACTACATAATTTATTTTCCTTAAATAAGACTAAACATTAGGCTTATTCCTTGAATATAATAAACTAATACTACGTAATATCTTGTCAAAATAATACTATCCTCCGTATCTCATTAATTACAACATTGGAATATATACACTATTCATGTACTTTACTTTGACTACATTTTATTTATTAATGTATGCGAATTATTTTTTTTGAAAAATGTTGTTAAATTCGTCTCATTACTAAGTTTTATAATCTAATGTTTAATTTATTTTTACTAATACAAAATTAAATATAATGACGGTCAAAGTTGTGCTTTAGCAAACGTGAAATGTTGACTGTTGCAACTAAAAAGAGACGGAGGAAGTAATAATTAACTAATGATATGACTAATTAATTGCCCCTACTTCCCCACCATAACTAGGGCAGTCTTATGGCGGTGGCAGACGGTGGTGGTCCGGCAGCAACCTAGCAGCGACGATTGGCGGCGGTCCGAGAGCGACAGTTTGGCGGAAGTCCGATGATCAGGCGGCGGTTCGGTGGTGACAGTGCTCCAATCAAAGGTGTTCACATGAACACTAGACTTTTGAAAAACATGTAAGTATATATGTGTAAATTTGGTATAATTATTTATTACTCTCTAAATTTGTAGTTGTTAAAAAGTATTGGACACCCAAAACTTAAATTCTAAATCCACTAGGGCTCCAACCACATGCAATGATAAATCTTATTTTTGGAATTGCATGTAAGTAATAATCACCATTTTTGGAAACGTGTTTTTGGTCTATATGAGGAGTTCTCTACAATTAAATTACGGAGTATAAACCAAGTACTACGTTCCTACTCCGTACTATTCTTACACTTTCCTTATGTTGTAATCATATTTTAAGCAATTTCCTCGTGTCCAAATATATATTCTAAGTATATCTTTAACCGTTATTAACTAGAAAGTGTTACAACACCGACATGTTGGAAAGTGGGAATTGAAACAGACTCACTTACCGCGTCAGCAACCGCATTCTTAACTGTTTTCATGTCGTTAATGGTAAACTTAGCGGTGGCCAACTTCCGCGGCCAAAGCTCCACCCCAGCACCGCCGCTCAGAGCCGTCTTCTTATCCTTCAGCCACAGACTCCTCAGTAGAAACTCGAAAACGTACGCCACCGTGTACCACACCACCATCGCCACCTCCTTAATGCCCCACCTCCTCCGACTACGTCCTGCTCCGACACCACCCGCTGACGGCGGCTGGCTGGGATCGCTGGTTTTCCGGCAGCAAGAGAGGAACAGGGACATGATCGTAGTCCCATCTCCGAGGGAGTGGTGGATTCGGAGAAAGCCGCATTTGTGGGCGAGAAGGAGATGGACTTCCCACAGTGGCTTGTCGGCGGGGAGCGGCGTGGAGACGGCGAGGTCGGCGAGGTAGCCGTTGAGCGCATCCTCGTCCGACACCAACGGGTCGTCGCCGAGAGGGTCCGGGAGGATGACGAAGTGGTCGTCAATGTTGACTTCGGTTCTCCGCCAGCTTTCGCGCCCGTTGGAATCTTTGACCAGCAGGCTACAGAATCTTGGGTTTTTGAGCAGCAGAGAGTTCGCGAAAGCCGATTTAACGGCGTCTACGTCGAACGGATTCTTGACGCCGGCGATCGCGTGTACGATTTGGTCCATCTCAGGTTGGCGAAACAGCCGGCCGGCAGGGGTCAACGGCTCATCATGCACTTGCGACTCCATCTTTCTATATATAAACTCTAAACAGCTCTCTTCTTTTATTTGAATTAAAATCGTGTGTGAGATGGATAGTGGTGGTGTAGGTTAC